CAAGGATCGTATGCTGAATATCAGGTCGGTGGTGGACATGTTTTTTCTGTAACCATGCTGTTCTAGACCCATCCTTGGTTCAATCCGCTGTCTAACTCTTTTTTCTATGATTCTTTCATATAATTTAGCTGTATGATTAATTAGTGAAATTCCCCTATAATTTTCACAATTACCGGAATCTCCTTTTCTTTTATAAATCGGTATGATTAACGTTTTACCCCATTCTTCGGGTATTTCACCTTTGCGCCAGCAGTGGTTTATTAATCCTAAAACATGACTAAGAATTTCCTCACCTCCATATTTAATTAGTTCTATAGTGATTTCATCTTCCCCTGGCGATTTTCCATTTTTCATTTTCTTAATAGCTGCTTCTAATTCTTGTGATGTAATTAAATCTTCTTCTACCTCCACATCCTCATTAGTTATTTCTTCCCTGCAAGTTTCCACTGTTGTTATCTCTTCTGTTTTTACATTTAGTAGCTTATTGAAATATTCTGTCCACCGATTATTGATACTTTCTGCTGTGACCAATACTGCACCACTTTCATCTTTTATGTTTTGAATTTTTGTTTTATCTTTCCTGTAAGATTTGGCAAGGCCGTATAGCCGTTTTTTGTTATTGCTTCTTAGGTCCTCTTTTAATTGGTCTCCTAGTTGTTTCCATGTTTGAGTTTTTGCTATCTTTTTCCTTTTGTCTACTTCTCTCCTAGCTAAAATGTATTCTTTTCTGGTTTCTTGAGTTCCATTTTTTAGCCATATTCTTAATTTTTTTGTCTTGTCTTTCACTGCTTCGCTTACCTCCTCTGACCACCATGGTGTATGCCTCTTTTTAGTGCCTCCTATCCACTTTATTCCTAGTGTGTTTACTGCTGATTCTTTAATACATTTTGCTAGAGTTTGCCAGTTTTCCTGATTTCCCACTTCAGTTTCCTGTAGATTTTGCTTAAGTTTAGATGTGTACATGTTTCTGACTTCTTGATTTTCAAGTGAATTTATATTAATGACTTTCCTTTTGTTTTTTCTTTGTTTATTTAGTCCTTTTACAGCTATGTCCGCAACCAACAATCTGTGATCAGAGTCTAGTGTTTCTCCCGGAAACGCTTTAACATTTAATATTTCTCGCTTGTCTGAGCAAATAAAATAATCAATGATTGACATCTGGTCAAACTTAGCGGAGTTTTGATTCCATCTATATCTTGTATACCTATGTGAACTTTGGTGTTGGAAGAAACCGTTCATAATCTTTAAATTGTTCATAATACAGAAGTCAATTAGTCTTTCTCCCTCAGGATTCCTATGTTCTTCACCGAAGGGACCCATTACCTTTTCAGTTCCCACTCTGTCGCTTCCAATTCTGCCATTAAAATCTCCCATCATCAGCCCCATCTCGGAGTCTTGTATATGATAACAATCCTCTAGTAACCTATAAAAATTTTCCTTCTCTTCAGTTGTATGTCCTTGCTGAGGTGCATACACTTGATATATGTGGTACTTCTTATTTTGTATGTTCAAAATACATTTCATTAGTCTTTCACTGATTAAGCTCACCTCTTGGATATGTGGTGAGAGTCTGGGTC